ATTTAGTTAAATTTCACAGTGCACTAGTGTGCAATGTGACATGTTAAAAAGCACAATAACAGATTAGCATCTTGTACAGTATATGATTTCAGCTAGGGCAGGGGTGTCAAACTTGTGGCCCATGGGCTGGATGCATCACGTACTGGCCACGCCCACGCCCGGTTTAGTGAAGGGGAAAAAAGTCGTGACACGTCATGTGATGATGCCATGACGACGCGAGTTTGACACCCCTGTTCTAGAACATCTGGAAGGCCAAACCTATCCTGCTGCAGGCTTCAACCACATACAAACACAGAATCTTGAGTGATTATCAGCTGAAGATGTTTCAGTGAAACAAATCTGAGGCTTGCCTGCAAGGTTTGCTTTGAGAATGGGAAACATGCTGAAGAATTGTCCAGGTCACAAATGAAGGCAAAGGTCAGTTTAGAGCCAGGTCAAAGTTGTCAGCCAATCCAAAGATTACAGATCCAAGAAGCAGAAATCCACACACAAATATCATGCACAAGCTGGATGTCAGATATTGTCTCCAGCAAAGAGAACAGAGGCAGAGTAGATTCTTTTATAGACTGCAGGCAGTTGTCAAAAATAGATTTACTTCTTTACTTCATGGGAAGCCTAATAGACTTCTATTCTGCTCTCCCCTCTACTCACTGCATCTGTGGGCTGGAAGGTCTGTCTTACTCCTCTTCTGAGTCTTTGAGCTGCTCAGATTTGCTTGAGTTTAATTGGCCTCATGTGATTTTTCCTGAGGCTGACATACCTGTAGTTTCTTCTCCAGATTCTCAGTCCTGAGCTTCCTGTCCCGGTTCATGTTCTTCCTGTCAGGCCATGATGATGTGTGGGACTGATAATTCATACTTATGCTATTGACTGGTGTTGTCCAGTATAATCCCATCTTCTCTCCATGCTCTTCAATGTGTACCTTAAACCAGTAGGGAAGGTCACTTAGTGATTTAAACTGGTTCACTATCAGTATGCTGATGTCTCCCTAATCTACTGCTGTCAACCATCAAATTCCAGGAAAATGTCAGTATTCTAAAATATTGCCTTTCATAATAGGCTGAACAAAGATGAATGTGCTGCTGGTGTTAGCTCTTTCAGGTAGTCCACAGAAGAAGCACAACCAGTAACATCAGCACTTTCTTTGCTGTAAGATTACATTAAAATGTTACAATATTTCAAAGTATTTCTCCCTTTCTCTCTTGAGACTCCAAAAACTAGGGAGGGTCCCTTCTGAAATGGTTTCCATGGTTCCCCCCTACCTGCAGACTACTTCTTATTAGAGTATTGTCTGGGCTGCAGATCTTCCTTCTGCCTACCAAAGCCATTCCCATTACACCTGGATTCAAAGATTAAGTCTGTCCTGGATACAGATGCCAACATTTTAAGCCCAAATAATTTAAGGCAGAGGTCTTCAAACTTGACAACTGTAAGACTTGTGGACTTCAACTCCCAGGATTCCTCCTCCAGTCATGGTAGCTCACGAATTCTGGGAGTTGAAGTCCACAAGTCTTAAACTTGCCAAGTTTGAAGACCTTTGATTTAAGGTCTCTCTGAGACACCGTTTCTTCTGTGAAGAACTTGATTGAACAGGCTCTTTTGAAGATGCCCCTCCTTTCAGAAACTTCACTTATCTTGTGGTAAGATTCTTCTACTGAATCCTTTCTGGGCTATGAAGTGCATTTTTGGGGGAGCTGGATTGGCCCCTTGCATTTATTTATTTTTTAAAATCTATTTAACCAATTTAATTTAATCACAGAATTAAAGTTGGAGTTAGAAGGAAACTTATAGGTAAACTCTAGTCCAACCCATTGCCCAGTGCACCAGAGCTCCCCAGATGGTCATCCCACCCTATTTGGACACCTTCAACAAGCAGAGTTGTTTACCCCTGTTCTTCTAGGCAGCTTCTTCCACCACTTATGGTAAGTAATAATGTAGTTCTTTCACCAGGAAAGTCCTCCCAATATCCAGCCTTTTTTAAAATTTCAACTTGGTGCTGCTTGTTCTGCCTTGGCTCGAACAGAAAATAAGAGTTGTGGTTGGTAAGCTTTTAGATGTTGGGACACTGTTATCATAACTCCCCTTCATCTTTTCTTTTGCAAGCTATGTGTTCAGCAGCTTTATCCCTTCCCAAAGCTTGGATTCCAAACCCCTTTATCATCTTGATACTTCTCCTCTAAAACAATTCCAGCTTCTGCATTGTAATTTTCAAGCTTGGTGCTCAGAACTGAAGAGAGCTCCAAATGCAGAAGAGCCAAGGTAGATTGTAATAGAGCTCTTATTTCCCGTGACTATTTGATGGCCAATTATTTTATCATTCATGTTTTAATTTATTTGGTGTTTTTTGTACTCTGAGTGTTTTGTTTGACCTTTAAGTTTACTTGAACATTCATTTTCCACAGAAAAGTGGCACATCAAATAAATAAGATCAATAAATGATAAGCCCTATTTCCTTTTTATTTACTCCATAATTTTTATTTCTATTTCAATAAACCAGGTAATCTAGAACAGGGGTGTCAAACTCGATTTCATTGAGGGCCACATCAGGGTTGTGTATGACCTCGGGGGGGCCTGGGGGGCATGATGTTACTTGTGTTGTGGGGAGTCTGTGGTGGCCTGAGCATTCTGCCAGGAAAAACAGAGCTTGGGGTGGCCATGGTGCTGGCAGAGGCACCACGGGCCAGTCTGCTATTTTCAGGGTGGCCCCGCAGACCAGATCTAAGCATCTCATGGGCTGGATTCGGCCCCCGAACCTTGAGTTTGACACCCCTGATCTAGAATAGTCCAAGCATTCCTGTTTTTCAACTCCCAACATTTTTCACCACTGACAGTGGGGAAGGTCATTGGGATTTGTGATTGTGACAATGAGATTTTGGGGAATTGTGATTCAGTAGCATTTCAAGAAATGCTAGTTCCTTACCTCTATAAAAAGTCTTTGCAGAAGGGAAGAACTCATCAGATTTTACAGGTATCTTCATTACATGCCAAAATAAAGCAGTAAAACTAGTTTATAAAGGAAGGGGTGTTTGTTTAGTACTTACGCTGCCATGCACATATATTTTTGCACTGGTAAAGTCTGGTCCCAAAGATTGAGCTACCTCTATTTAGAACAGTAAGTAACAGATGTTTACATGAAACAGATGATGGCATTGAGATTTCTCATTGATAATTGCAGTATATAATCTCACCAGCTGTGCTAGTTTCAGGGTTTCATATCCTGTATTTAAAGGGTGCATGAAAATGTATGAGAGAATGAAGTTGGGAATATTAATATTAATTGGCCTAATTCAAGATGAAACAATGTCCTCAGAGGAGGCTTTTGGGGCTCATTCTAAATCTGACTGCTCTCGTAATCTTAGCCAGAAGTCCAAGAAGCTATTTAAATCTGTCTATGTTTGCAGAGCACAGATTCGAGCATTACTTTATGTTATCATTGTTCATGAATGATTTAAAGTAACAATAACAAAGTTGTTGTTGCTGTAACATTTTTTGTAAACACTCTTCCCTAATGCATGTTGAGATGGATACTAGCAAATTCCATTAATGTCCAATGGTACTTCAGGAGATTCAGTGGATTCTTGGAGTTCAAGCCATTTTGATTGAAAAGAAATACCTACATCAGACTTAACTAGCTCAAGTGAATTTTTTTTTTGTTTGGACATGAACATTGGATTACTGTAAGTTTTTCTCTACCTGTTCTCCCCACGTCTTAAGGTTATCACTTTGCAGGAAATTTCTCCTGTTAATGCTGCACAAACACTAGCCTATTTCAAGTACTGATCACCCAATATTTTTCCCAAACATGATACATTTATAAATCTTCAGCTTTGTTGCAGGAGATCGTGTCCTGCTTCTCTTTTTATAAGCTGGAAGAAACAAAATTCAGTGGTTAGGTGAGAGAAAGTAAATTCCCTTCAAATAAGTTTTAAAACTCTTGAAAAAAACACAAATGTATAGAAATATGGTGCATTACTGGGAAGAACTGTACAGTGTATAGCCTTATTTTTTGTTTGGTTCTAAGTTACAATACTAAACACTAGAAAGCAATCTGGAAGAAACTGGGGAAATAGTTTATTTATTTCATTTTATTTATTTGATTTGTCAATCACTTACAAGATAATAGGTATAAGTATAAACATGAGTAAGAATACAGGAAATAGGTACGAATAAATGGGGACAATAGGACAGGGACGGTAGGCACGATGGTGCACTTATGCACGCCCCTTACAGACCTCTTAATTGGCACAGTGTTGGAAAATGTCTACAGAGATCCAACCATGCTTACCACAAAAACTCACTGGGTGATTTTGGGTGAGTGATTCTGTCTGAATCCAAACCTATTTCACAATATTATTTATTGTGGGGATAAAATGAGGTGATATTCTGCCTTAAGTTCCTGGACAGAGGAGGAAAAAAATGTAACAGAAAAAAAAGAACCCAAAATGCAGTGAGAAAAAATTTCACAGTAACAAGACATCTAGCAGGAGTATTGAACAACACTACAAAAAGCATTACTTTGAGGCACAATGCATTCAGATTTCAAATACAATATGAATAGTAGCATATTTATTGCACTATAAACTCACCATCTGGAAGGGAACCAGAGTAGCCTGAGAGAGTTAATGACCCAAGCAGTCGGGGGCTTTTTGAAGAACTATTAGGTTGTGATTGTTGTCACTGTAACCTTTGCAGAGTTTATTGTTTTTGTAGATTAATTTCTGGAAGGATAGGGTATGTATTTATTTGCAAGCATTTGTATTCTGTACTATTCCAAAGACTTCAAGTGGCTAAGCATTCCAATATTAAAAACATAAAACATACAACGGTACATGAAAATGACAATAATCATATGGGCGGCTTGTTCAATAATGGATTAATTCCTGTATTCACTCTCACTGGAGGTGGAAGACTGGCATCAGACAGGCCGAGGGTTGGTGCAGGCCTTGTCTCTGCGCGCTGTCTTCTCATAGCTTGCAATGCATCTGCTTTTTCTTTTGCAGATGGTGAGCGACTGGGAGAAGAGACAGACCCTGGCAAGCGAGCATCTGGGGCCCATGTGCCCTCTCCTCATAGGAAGGCTGAGGACTCCAGTGAGAGCCGGGAAGATGAACAGATGGTAACTTCATTTGTGCCTAGCTTTGTGCTTTTTCTCGCTGTTACTTATTTAAAAATAAAGATTTCTAATCATGTTTGTTTGGGGAGTAGATTGCTAGAATGGTAGGAAAATAGGGAAGAGATTCTTCCTGATTCCAGTATGCTTGGGGATACCTATAAGGTATCTATAAGTCTGAGCATGATGTAGACATCAGTCAGAAAGCCAGAAGTGCCACGACTAGGAAGATTTTATCAATATTAAGCAGCAACATATGTTAATGGTGTCTAGATGAACTACTTGGGATCCACAAGGGACTACTTTGGGTTGGTGAAAATTTTCTGGAAAAAAATGTGATTGCAAAATACCCAAAAAGAGCGGGGTTGTTGCTCCTGCTCCCACTATCCCCAAACAGTATGGATTGTTGCTAACAGGAATTTGAGTTCATTCTAGATGGGTCATGGGTTCCCTATTTCTCTTATCTCTAGAGTTTCTCTGAAGTCCTGTATAAGGAGAGGGATGGTGCTCCATTCCTCCTCCATTTCTGAGCTTAGAAATAGCCAGATGGTTAGCCTGTCACTACCTGCTTCAAAAATTCTTGGTGCAAAGAAGAATCAGCACCAGAGGTGGTATTCAGCAGGTTCTGACCAGTTCTAGAGAACCGGTAGCAGAAATTTTGAGTAGTTCAGAGAATTGGCAAATACCACCTCTGACTGGTCCAACACCCATTTATTCTCTACCTCCCTGATTGGCTGGGTCTCCTTTTGTTGCCCTGCACAGGAGAACAGAGATGGAAAGCAGGTTAGTGGGGTGGGGAGGGAATGGGATTTTGCAGTATCCTTTCCATGCCACACCCACCAAGCCACGTCATGCCCACCAAGCCACGCCCACAGAACTGTTAGTAAAAAAATTGAATCCCACCATTGATCTGCACATCCCTTTTTCAAGAGGCAACTGGACTTTCTGGGGCAAAAACAAGAAACTCCAGTTGCCTCTTGAAAAAGCACCTTTGGGACAAATGACTGAGAATCTCCATAGACAGAAGAATCTGCACCTTCCCTCAAGCTTGGAGACCAAAACTCTTCCTCACCTTCTGAAAGTGCAGTGCTTTGGACTCTGATTTTTGTCTAGAACTAAAGAAAATCAAAGACACTTTCTGACCTCAGACTGATTAGGGGTTTTTTTTGACTGGGAGGGATTGTTCTTTAATCCGGCAATTTGCTGTGCTTGGCAGCTGGCACTTGAGAGCTGAAGGAAAAATTAGCAGGGCTTTTGTCGGCTGAAGTTGCAGAGCTACCTTGTTAAGTTGTCTCATAAGGCTGGTTAAGAGAAGACATTAACACTCCCATAGAAGAGAATATCTATAGTTCAGGGTGAACTATCCAGTCCCTGGTACTCTCTGATCTTGGTTATTTCTTTGTAGACCTTTCATTCATTACCTAATGGGATGTCTGCAAGCAAATAGCTAAGTATAAAGAACACCAAGGACTCCATTAGCATGTTGCTTTATGATAAAGCTTTGGCTCTACCAGAATCGTTCTTTAACCTGGCTAGAAATAGTAAGCAAAATGGCACTTAAAGAGCTTGATCTGAAAGGATTCTGTGCCTGCCAATGATACTTCCCTTGTGATAGTGGTGATTATGTGAAAGGCGTCAGCACCTCAGAATACAGGTAGTCCTCGACTTACAACAATTCATTTAGTGATCGTTCAAAGTTACAATGGCACTGAAAAAAAGGTGACTTATGACTGTCTTACATACTTATGACTATTGCAGTATCCCCAGGGTCACGTGATTCAGGCTCTTGGCAACTGGTTCATATTTATGACCGTTGCTGTGTCCCCTTTTGCCACCTTCTGACAAGCAAAGTCAATGGGGAACCCAGATTTTCTTAACAATCGGGTTACTAACTTACCAACTACAGTGATTCACTTCACAAGTGTGGCAAGAAAGGTCGTAAAATGAGGCAAAAACTCATTTAACAAGTATCTCACTTAACAACACAATTTTCGGGTTCTGTTATGGTCCATAAGTTGAGGACTACCTGTAGAAGAGAAAAGATTGACAAAGTTGGATGAGTTAATGCAGAACAGTTCACATAAGCTAAAGAAGAGTGTTGTATGTTACTTGGCCATGTTACATGGACACAAGTCCCTATTTAATAATATGTTGATTATGTGTCTTCAAAAATAAGGGCAGAATTGTACCTTAAAATAAAGTACAAATCTATGCAAAAGCGTATCTCTCACAGCAATTGGCATGAAAAAAAATAAAACCAAAAAATATGGTTGCTGCCATTTTACTACCAATTTAATCTTTTTGCAGCCCTTAATTTTGGCTGCCTAATTTGGACGGGAATCTGGAAGCATGTGGCCTTAAAATGTGGTACTCCTAAGCATTCTGACTTTCTAGTACTACATCTGGTATCATGGGTTCATCTGATCAGATGGGAAAAAGCCATATGAACAGTACCCGCAGGAGTTTCCAGTTCAAATCATGTCTCCCAATGGTGTTCCTGCATTTTCCCAGTGCTTTTTCAATCATTTTTCTGCTGCATATGACTAGCTTCATAATCTTTTGATTGATAGCATTGTGACTTGTTCATTTGGAAACAATCTTTGGCAAGACTGCCCACAGAGCTGTGTACAGAAATCAGAACTCTCGAAAGCCAGTTTTTCTCTAATAGTAAATTTTCCAGGATAAATATTCCAAAGCTAAAGTATGCAGAAATTTCATTGTTAAGTAATTAAATTGCCAAATTATATATGGCATTGGCTTTTCAAAGAACCTGGAATTTTGTTTTGCTAAATATATGTATTTCACTAGCAGGCATATACGCTCAAGATTAATGAGAAAGGACCTTAATAAGAGCTCATCAATAAGAGGAAATATATACGGTAGAAATTGAAACACACACACGCACCCATTTCTTTCTTCCCATTTACACACACAAAGACAGAAATATAAGGACATCCCAAAGACATCATATATAAGCTTAGCCTCTTGATCTAAGGTCAGAATCTATCACCTTTTCTGGGAGCTTCCTGCCGTGAAATCTCCACAGAGATTGCTTTTTTTTTTTTTAATCAGCAGTTTTATATCTTCTTTGCTCTCCCTTTGGATGCTATTTAAAATTAAGGGAGCACCTCACTGTGTACTGCAGCTTTTCTTCAGCCCACTACAGAAGCTAGCTTGAGAGGTGATATTGTGTGAAGGAGCAAGCAATACAAGAACCATTCCCTGGAAACAGTGGTGGGCTTCCCTTGAGTGATTTTAAGCAGCATTTCATGGAACCAAGTGCTTGTACAGACCACACAGCGTTTCTTTATCTTCCAGTTGCCAGTGTTATACTGCAGAGCCTCACCAAGGTCTTCTTCAATTCCAGTCAGGAATGCAACATTTGTGGGAGATATATCTTGTGGCACAGTCTGGATTCAGAATCATGTTAGCCAATATATTAGTTAAAAAGTTGGTCAGTCATAAGATTATTATATGTGCCAGGATGATAAGAGTACTGAAATTCCTATAATGGAGGAATGGATTGTAAAAATGCCGTAATTGGCCAAAGATAAAAAACTAACTTGTTTGTCAAGGAGAAAAAGACAAGTGCTTTTTAAAAGAGTTGGGAACCTTTTATGGGCTTTTTGCTAAAAGAAAAAAAAAGTGAAATGATAATTTATGGATTTAATGTTTGAAAAGCTGAAAGTTAAATTACGGATTGAAGGCATTTCTGGAATAATAGTTAAATGGGAAGGGAGATAAAAGGTTTCTTAATATCTGTTGAAGGGAAGATTGGAAGTCATTAGTATAATAAACTATAGTTTGTTTCCTTTTTTTCTTGCACCTTTTTCCTTTTTTTTCTTTTTTCTTTTCTATTTTTTCCCCTTTGGATCTGACTTTTACTGTGTGTAAAATCCTTAACAAAAAATAATGAAAAGTTGGTTCCTGGGCTTGCCTTCCTTCCACTCTGATCATAAGCATAAAGCTATTTGGTGACCCTAGCAACCATCTTTGAAGAAAACAGGGACGAAAAGAAGGCACAAAGAAACATTTAAATCTCAGCAGCCTCTCTTCCTTTAATGTAGCCTAAGCAGCAGCCCTAGAAGGTCCCAGAAGAGGTCTGAACTCTTTAGTAGAGAAACACTGTGATCCACTTCAGCAAGTTCTCTGTTTTACTTTTTATTCAAGTTGCAATATCTAAAAGCCACTGTTCTATATAAATGTTTAAACAGCCCCTAAAGGCCATTGGTTCTATCAGCTCCTATTAAAGAAGTCTGCAGCTATATTGTCATTGAATTTTTATTCATTCTGGACTTTTTTGTTTTAAAGCTCCCTGAATGAAGTAAACAAGTATGTCTCACCTCAGCCTGTTTCTCCTCTGAAATGCTAATTTCCTGTGTAGAACAATATTCCAATAGGCAATCTCCTACCTGCATTCTGAACAGATAAAGTATTTTGTGATTCTACTGAACACATTTCCTGACTTGCTCTGATGTATATAAAAACATTCTTTTTATTTGCCAATTAGATTACATACTGTTGCACAAGGGAAAGTAATTGGTAAAAAATAGGTGTAAATGGATCATTTAAGGCTCATTGTAAAGCCATCATGCTGGATAAAATTCCAGGAAATAATTTAAAATTGATTATTTTGATCCTTTCTGGAGTTCTTCCTATAACAGCCTATTGTTTTAGTTTATCTGGCCTCACAATTTTGTTCATTACAAAATTATTTTTTCCTCTTCTAAGGGTGTCCAATATCTGTCAAATCTCTTGGCATGGATTTCTTTGGCATAAAATTGCTATTGAAGATCTTAAGTTTTGTCTGGTCTTACAACATCTGTAGGACTGCAGCTATTCAAGATGGAAGTTCAAACAGCAGATGTTGACTGTGCAGTAGAAAATTATTCAGAGTAGAATGGCAAAGGAAATTCACTCTAAGCTCTTTAGCTCTGGTTTGAGGAAATATCCCCCTAACCCAGACTGAAGAGAGAAAATACAAACTAGACTGACTTTCCTAACCC